GGGCGGGCCAGGAGAGGTCTGCCACGCCATGTGGTCACCTCCGGGGCAGGCGGGAATCGAACTCATGAGGAAGCGGCTTTAGATTGTCAGTGCTGTGCTTTAACCCGCTGCGCCACCAGGGAGGGCCAGCTTCTACTCTTTTAAACTTTAATTGTGTTGCTTCTTCTGTAGTGAAGTGATATTTTTTTTTCATAGAGTAATTGCATGTTAATCTAAGCTCTTTAAAAATAAAGGTACACTTTACGCATGATATATATCTCATGTCCTAAAATATATGTGTGTATGTTATGTATATAGTACATATGGTATATCTATCCTAGTCTTTCTCATCTCAAAATATTTTTAGTACCCTTGGTATCACAAATTGAAAGTCCCCACCATTTCAAAGTTTCTCTCTGAATGCATTTTTGTCGGTCTGTCCTCAAGCTCTCAGAGCTGAAAGTGGTCTGGACTGAATGTTGTAAAGTGGAACAAGTCTTTGGGAACTTAAACTTCCCTGTTCCCCATTCCATGTTCTATATAAGAGTGCACACAATTTCAAATGAAATTTGTTTTTAGTTTTAATAATTTAATTTAATATTTAAATAAAATGTTATCGATTTAATATTAATATTTAATTTAAAGTGATACTATTCAACTTGGGTATTGAGAAAGAGAAGGGGGGTATTTTTTGATACATTATCTAACAATTATGTCAGACTTATTAAAAAATGACCCTGATTACTTGGGTGGTTTTCCAAGAACTGAAATCTCAAATCCTCATTTCTTCTAATAGCTAAGAGAAGCACTAAACAGAAGATGCTAGATTTACAAGGAGTATGAGTAATAGCTTGTACTTACATTTGGGACAACACATTTTCTGCCCAGACCCACTTGAAAGGAATTACAAGATGAACTGTTTAACTCATGAGGCAGTTACAAATGAATTTCTTTTCACAGCTTAGTCTCCATAGTTTAAAATATAAGTGAGTTGCTGTCCTTTCTAGGACTGTTTCCAGCCCTATATTCTTTATTCTTTTCAGACCTATATTCTGATAGTTGTTTTTTTTTTCCTAGAAAATATATAACAAAAATTTCAAGAGTCAACATAGCTTTCACTCAAACTGAAAAGTAATGCATTTTTACTTCTATAAATTTGTTTTGCAATCATCTAAATTATCTATGCAAGGTGATATTTATGGTTGAAATTTGAGGTTGAAAAATTACAAATTATTTTGAATAGAGAAATGTTATAATTTGCTTTTTTTTTATCCTTTATACCACAGCAGGGTCACCATAACTATTCTTAACTCTTTATATGAAATAAACTATAAGGTTTTATCAATAAAAAACAAAACAGGGTCCTCTCTGGTGGTGCTACTGGTATGCTAAGAGTTAAAGTGCAGCTCTGTGAAGCTATCATAGCCACTGCAGCAAGACTTCAATCCCTGGCTGGGAAGGTGATCCATGGTGCAGCAGACCTCCCCTGACCCATCCGCTGCTCCCCTAAGCAGTATAATTTGTCTCTCTGCCTGTTCTGCTCCCCACTCTGTTTCTGGTGAATCCTCTCATTCCTCTTCCACCTCTGGCCTGTACCCCAATTCTGTATGCATAACTAAATAAATCTTATTAAAAAAAAACCCTGAACTGTTCTTGTTAATGAACAATAATTAACTATAAGAGTTACAGTAAAAGTAAAGCGATTTTATTTTATTTTTAATTTTTTTAAAGATTTATTTATTTATTCATACAGAACTGGGGTACAGGCCAGAGATGCAGAGGGTGAGAGGATTCACC